TCTCGAGTGCGAGGCAACCCCGTCTGCCGCGTCCCTCTTTCTTAAAGCCTCTCGCGGGCCTTGGTCTGCCACTCTGAAACTCTGCCACAGAGATTGCCGCAAGTCGGCCGGTAATTGTTGTGGATTGCAGCTGGGGAGATGGAAGATGGGACAGTCCGAAGACCAAAGACCGATCGCCTGGAAATATTTGCACAGACAAGTTGAGACCCCTTCACACACATGCTCCTCTGCGGCGCTCTGGCTGATCTGGATCTCGACTCGACTTGGGCTATATAATTTTGCTTAGCTGCAATTATGAGATGTGCCGGGCTGATCTTGAACCAAGCAAACGAGCGAGAATCGGGGTGCACACACATGGAGAAGCGGCCGAAGAAACCTGAACTTCACCGGAAGCTTCGTCTTCTGTACGCGCGGGTCTTTTGTGAATCAAAAGCAGAGCAACAGAGCAGCAAAGCAGCAAAGCAGCAGAGGCAGTGAAAAAAATTGAAAAAAAGAAGAACTCGTTCTTACGGTTATCTGTTGGTTTTACAAGTGCCCCGAGTGCTGCAGAAGAATCTCCCCTGCACCGCCGTTCTTCATGCGTCTGGCAGATGCCAACATAAAATACATCCAACATCCTTAATTATGACAATCATCTCAGCTTGATGTTCATTTCTTGACTTGACTTGACTTGGTTTTGTTTTCCGCGGCTGCTGATCTCCGATACAGATCGCTGGTGTATTGTATCCGTATCCACCAGTCGTCAGTGTGTGTACGTTGCTATGGGGTCACTCCTCGATACAATCCGCATGGATGGCAGAGGGAGGGCGAGAGATCGCAGTAAGAGATCTTTGGCACAGTTTTCGAAAACACTTTGGAATGCCGTGCACTGGGGGTTGATTTGGTGCCAGGATGGGAACCAACCAAGTGGGGGAGATCGTTTCCCCGAAGGTTGGGAGCGTGAGAGCTTTGTTCTTATGACGATTCCGGGTGACTTGGATCGCTTGGAAATGATGGTTGATCGCGGGAGATATAATTATTGCCAAGGGATATTTTATTCATTGTTTATTTCCCTTTTCTGTTGGTTAGCACCGGCAAAAGAAACGAAGTAAGCCCAAATATTTTGAAAACAACAAAAATGTATTTGTCAACTGACAAAATATTAAGTGTTTGGGCTTTAAATATAAATTTAATAATATTTTAGTGTTGTGTTTTAACATTAGGCATTTAACATGCACAAAATTAAATTTTAAAAAAGAATTAATAGTGCTTGAGTATAAAAAAAAATTATAGGTTTCCATGCAATTGTATTTACTTTACTGACAGTACTTTAATGCCATTCCATACACAGAGTTCGATGAACCTAACAAATGTAAGATTGCAAGTTTTTTTTTATTTACTATCCCTACAAAACAACACAACCTCTGACCCCCGACTTGTCCAGAATTCTCTAAGTGAACACTTTCGCTTTCGGACCGACAGAGCCCAATTACAAAACCAGCTGATTGATTATGCGGCAAGGGCAATTAAAAGCTCTGCTTTCACCCTAAGGCCAGTTGCCAGTGGCCAGTTGGCAACCACTAATTACTTTCACTGGACCACTGGGCCCGTCATCAAACCCAACTTGCAAATAAGCCAAGTCAAAGTCAGAGGCGCAGTTACAACTCGAGCACGCAGCCGGACTTTGGTTATCATCGTCGTCATCATCGCAGGGGGCCAAAAGGTTAATATGGCAATTAGCCAACTTAACCAAAAGAAAGCCGAGCCAAAAAAAGGCAACGCCGGGAAAAGCCAAACTCTCTGACAATTAACAGAGCCATAGCTTTCGTAGCTCGTAGATGCGATAACTTAACTTTCAAATGCGATTAGGGTCGATGAGCTGCCAACTGAATCCAAATCGACAGGTTCTAACAAATGATGATTCTGTTTTCGTTTCTCTTGTGTTTTTTTTTTTTTTTTTTTTTCTTTCCATCGAAGCTCAGAACGGATGCCGGCATCCACAAGATACTTTTGAAAGTATCTCAACAGGTTCACGCCTCTATCGAAATCTCAGACACACATTAAATGTAATTTTCGGACGAAAAAATGGAAGGAGCGACGGGCCGAAATGAAAACCTTTCGAGCCAGCCTCACTTGTAAGTGGTACATCAAAAATTTCCAACAGTTTTTCAAGTGTTTATGATGGGGATGGAGGCATTGGTTTTGGCGTGATTACCGCAAGTAAACTATCTCTCGCAGCTGGATTTTTCTGAGGCAACGAGCTGCCGGTTTTTATTTCTCTGTGCCTGAGTCGGTGTCTGTTTTTGTTTTCCCTTTTTTTGTTGTGTTTTTTTTTCTTCGTCTTTATGAAGATGAATTTCTTTTTTATGAGCGATTTAGACGTGCCTGCCGCTCGGTGTGCCCTGCTGTTTTGTAGCTTCAATTACCTCAGAGCTCGGTTGATTGATTTCGCCGCAATCGAGTTCAATATCAAGGCAAAGCCCACCAGCTAATCCAAATTAGAGCGCCTTTTGTCGTAAGCCCTAACAATACGTCATCATCGGTTTACCTTCAATCGACGACCCATAAAAATAAATAAAAACGCACAAAACATATAGAGAACCAATGACAAATCCGTTCAACAAGTGGCACTCGAGAGCAGATCTCTTGTCGAGGGCTTCTGCTTCTGCTTACATCAATGCCAGCATCCAATCTTTATCTGCGGCTCATCAAGCGGATCGCATTTGCATACAATTCCCATCGATGCGTGTTTCCTATATATACTATATACTATATCATTTTCGCTATCGCCAGTGACAATCTGGTGGGCATAAATCAGGCGGCCGCATCTTGGCTTAGATCTCCAGTATATAAATTTAAATTAGCCAGTTCAACTTTTACCCCCTGACTGGCGGGCCGGTGATTTAGCACTTGGAATATGCCAAGAATCGCTTTGCAGGTGTTTCAATGCCAAAAACGAGTTTACATGCGACTTGACTTATTTGCCTGCTAATTTCTGGTTATTTGTGCGACCGAAGCCGTTGGAAAAAAGTCAAACAATAGACGGCATTTGGGTGGGGCCTCAAGTTGCTTTGCTGATTTGTTTATTTTTCTGTGAGCGCGCTTTTCGGGCTGCCTTTTTTTTGGGGGGTTGTCCATTGTTTGCCTGACAACATGACAATTACACGTTCAGAATTTTCGAAAAACAAATTGCGTTGTCAGCTTTGGTTGGTGGTAATCAGCATGGCAAATTATGGAATTATTTCCACCTGAAATCGAGTGCCTGAAGGTCGTCGCTATAATTCAATCACTTAGTACAGTGCAGGTTTAATTTATGTCTAAAGTGATCTCAGACAAGACCCAAAATTTGAAAAAAAAAAAACAAATAAGAAATAATTGTTTTGGCAAATTCAAATTTTAGACAATTTACAGGTTTTTGCTGATGATGTCAGAGAACCATTTGGTTGAGCTCGAAGTAATCTTCTTGGTAGCCATAAAGATATTTCTGAAAAGGATTAATTTAGCAATTATTTTTAGATGCGGACAGCAACATTTTGAAATTGCAAAATTAATTTATATAATGATTTCATATGATGATCAAGAAAAGGTAATTGCAAATTAAACATAATAGATTCGGGATAATTTAAAAATAGTGGCAAACAAAGAACTCAACGACTTTAATTAAGCTACAAATGGTAATGAAATAATAAGTAATAGTTCGCTCATTAATGCCTTTTTAAAATTAAAAAGCCTGGCTTTTTGTTTTGTGGTTGCAATCCGTGAGATACTTTTGCACTGAGTGGCTTTTAGCTCCAGGACTTTCAGCGACGGCATCCTTTCAACATACGACAAGGGATACTCCAAAAGTTGACGGCTGCTGTTTCGGTATTTTTAAAGGAAAAAGTTGGATGAGAGGAAAGGCCTGTTTGTTATTTACCGACAACTTTATGGCCACATGTCGACGACAACAACAAGAACAACAACAACGACGGCGAATTGTCATCATAAACAATGTGAGCGGGGCAACAACAACAAAAAAAGAGGCGACGAATTTGTTGCTTAAATTTCTGCCTCTCGTAATTTTTTCCCTTTTGCGATTGTTGTTTTTGTTGATGCGCATGTGTGAAAAATAAGCAAGTTTCCCGAGCTGGGCCCCCAAGTAATGTGGGGGGTGTGGTCGGTCGTCAACGCCAGCGACGTCAACGAATTTTTTCCATTTAGGTTTTTCTTCATTTTTTCTACCCCCGTTTGTGGGGAAAAGCGACGCCACGGCGTCTATTTAATGAAGTGCCAGAGCGCCGGCGATTTTTTGGGGACATTTTTTCTATGCGGCGCGGATAGTGTGAATTTTCACATCAAGTCTACTGCAGTTTTGGAATGGCATAAAGCGATGGCACCGAGTTGAGCCGAGCTGAGCCAAGTTGAGTTATCTCTTGTGCTGAAGGTGCCAACGACCCGGTTGACAGGTGGGTGGAGGTTTGGTTTACTTGATTTAAGTACGGATTGAATGGGGTTAGCAGGTTTGTGTTCAAGGCAAGGCACGTTTAGTGGTACTTAAAAGACCGTTTTAAGGCACTTGAACACAGAGAAGATTGACCACTAATGGAGGTGTTATGTCTTGATTAGTTTGGACATTTAATTACATTTTAAAACATGTATTTAGAGCTTTAACCTTAGCTTGTTTATTATCCTAGCGCAAAATTTATGGTAAAAGTCGCAATTTATGAACAAAATTTAGACATGCATTTAAAGTTTATGGAATTAATAAGCCAAACGGGTTATTAAATTCTCTTATATAACGATATAATTATATATTAAACTTGGTTTGAATACATTATGTACATTGGTAGTTTCAATTAGATATTTCCCCACATAGATAGTTCTCCTCCCACTCAGAAGTTTCTAAATCTCTCGAAAATAGATCAAAACCAAACGGGCTGACACATGTGCGAGATCATGCCGACTTAACCTAAGCCCCCGTTTTAAAGCTATTTAATCCAACGTATCGCATCGACTCGAGGGCCATTCATTCAAGCACTTACCCGCTAACACATGTGTATCCAATCACTCTCTGCCCCAATGACGTTCTGCCGGTATAATCTGTAATGAAGAGCAAACATATAAATTTAATAAGCTGTCACATAAATTTTCCGCTCTCTCATGAGCACTTAAATCTATGGACTAGACCCAGTCCAAAAAATCATTCGAGCTGAACACTAAATTAGATAGAGAGCCAGCGAAAAAATGAGAACCTAAAAATAGTGGACAACGAACAAGAAGCGTGGGGAAAGATGTGAAACAAATTAAATCCACTTTAAAACTGTTGCCAATGGCAAAATGAAAATGTTTTGGCATCTGTTTCGATTTAAAGGATTGAGTGGAAATTGAATACTTTCCCAAGAACGCTGACTAAGTGGAAATTAATAGCCGAGAAAACCCCACCGAAAAAAAAAAATTTAGGGAAAGACAGGAAAACTTTCACTGGAAACTGTAACGAGAAACTTGAAATGACTCTTTGAACTGTGAACCATGAACATGGAGTTGTCGAGGGCCCTGAAGTGCCGTGGATTGGAGTGTTTGGATTGTGCGTTCGACTAGACGCATCATAAATATTTGAAATGTGTCTCCGTAACCGACACGATGATGGTTCCATCGGGGAATCTCCGGAGCAGGGGGCAGCCAGCATGCCACATGGCAGCAGCAACATTTTGACACACTTAAGTGTCGGACAGCCCCCATCATCAGCGGTCTGATCACCGACGATCCGATCCGATCCGATCCTCAGCCGACTGGGGCGAAGATGTGCGACAATAAATTTGGAAATTATGAACATAATTCTTCATTAACAGCGCCTCCGTGCTGTTGCCATTGATAAATTGGAAAACGCGATAGAGCAGAGGCGGCTGGCTCCCCAGCCTTCTCTTCTTCCCTTCCGAATTCCGAATTTCAAATTCCCAAACCCAATCCGAGTCTGAAACTGAACGAAAGTGAAATGTGAACTGCCCACATTTGCTTTCGTTTTATGTGACCAGTTGGTGGGTTGGCGAACGGAACTCCGGGCTTTGGGACTTTGGGTCCAAATGGCCAGTGATAAATTGGCGATATTACGGCAGCAGATTATTCAAATTTCTGCCCGTGGGCGTTAACCCACAAAAAGGCATTTGAAGAATGCCAAACCAGGCCAGAGATAGACCCATTTCTGATAGTGCCCAGCGATTGTGTGGCATTCAAATTGAAATAACGTGATTTTTGTGGTCCACTGGCCGTTGCTCGATGGTGCAGGGCAGGTGGTTGACATAGATTTTTCCCCCATTCAGCTATTGTTTTGCGGTTTTGCGCAGATTTCTGGGCTTGACTGAATCGAAACGCACTTTTTCCTCTCTATTGTTTAGTGGGCGTTGCCGCGACTTTCTGGCAGTTTCTTGTTTGTTTTTTGTGTATATGTCCCAAAGGGAATTTAATGGCATTGAACACTTGTTGTTTTTTTTTACTTTTTAATACCTTGGGGAATAAATATTGTTTTGAAACGAATAAATAATAAAATACATAAAAAGAGCTAGTATAAATAAGTATGTATCTTTCAATTATATAAACTTTGAAATATTCATTACTTTTTCATAAAATCGAAAATTGATATCTAATTTTTTAAAGTTAACCAACTCAAAACCGTTTACTGCTTTATAGGCAGTTGGTTGGGAAACAAAGGCAACCAAAAAAAATTTTACATAAAAAAAAAACTTACAAGAATTAGTAAAACAAAATTCAACATCTCCCCGACGGGGAATTGAACCCCGGTCTCCCGCGTGACAGGCGGGGATACTAACCACTATACTATCGAGGATGTTAAGCTACAATCGCCCGAATGTATTCATAGCTATGAGCACATTTCTTATCTGTGAACAAGAAACGGATAAGAAAAAGAGGGAACGAAAGAGTGAAAAAGTGAGTACAGAAATGAGATCTTAAAATTAACAAATTTGTATAAAAAAACTGACTCGACCGATTTTGTGTTCCAAGTTTGAGTTCCCCGTTTAAACAATTTATTTTACAAATTTTTTTGTAATTGCTGATCTGGATTTTTCACATATCTTATCAATTTTCCACCGCAATCAATTGATTTTAATGCGTTTCCAGCATAGCACTCGCCGCTGCTCCACTTTATGCGGCATGCCAGATACCACAGCTCGTTCTCTCGGTTTTTCTGGGGCCCCCGAGACCAGCCGTAAATTGCAGCCGGGAGTGGGTCTGGCCCACAGCGGTTTCGAAATCATTGCCACCTCATAACAACCAGCAGGTAGAGCCACCCCTTCACTTCGATTCACTCCAAACCGCTCCATACGACGCATGCAACGCGCGTTCGGCTTTCACAGCCCAATTCACTTGCCGCAAAAACCGCAAGGTGCGTTGTTATAGTTGCTCAAAACCATTCAAAGCGAAAAATGCCATTGGAAAAGCACAAAAGCAAAAGCAATTACGCAAGCAACATGGATTTTGCTATCTCTCTCAAAAAATCAAAGGCTTATTAAAAAAATATTTTCACTAAAAGTTTTTATTCTTTAAAAATATTATAAAAATCCATAACATCCACTGATCTGTTTATAAAGCCTCCTTTGACTCAACCATCAACCAAACAGAAATAGTTCCATGTTAAAAATTCTCATGTTGAAATTTAATTTGGTATAAAACTGAAAATTCCTCGACTTCCAGTTGTTGAAAAATAAAAAAATCAGCAGTCATGTCCGGGCGGCGATGTGTAATCTGTGGCGAAGAGCCGCCGGCGAAAGACGCAAAGGGCAACGAGGCGTATGCATATCCCAAGACGGCGGAGGAGGCCAGGATCTGGCAGGCCAGTATGGCGGCCAAGAACTGCTGCCTGGAGAGCATCCAAAACCAGTGTTGCGTCTGTGTGGTGCACATTCCCGACTTTGTGAAGCGGGCCAAGAAGATTGGTCGGCGGTTGAGGACACTGGAGCGGGAAAAGGAGAAGCGACTGGATGAAAGGGCGGCGGCAGAGGAGGCCATGGGCTGCCAGTGTCCAGATGGTGGTCAGCCCGGTCCCGAACGCCCATCCGTTAATGTCCTGCTTCTTAATGGCGCTTCACTGCCCACGTATTGCGGCAAGGGTCAGTCCTGCGTGGATTTGCGACCACTTCCAGCGGCAGAGGGCGATTCGGGAGCAAAGTTAACCAAATGGTTAAATCCCAAGGACTCGGACACGGAGATATTTGTGCAGGAGTCGGAATTCAAGGACACCGGCGGGACCTTTCCGGACATCGATGGCACCGAGGTCACCATGTTGCGCGCTCCCATGCAGGAGGAAGAGGAGCTCGAGCAGCTGCAGCAGGAGCAGCAGGAGCAGCAGGAGGCGGACCAGGAGCAGGACCCGAGTGTCAGGTGCGGAAAACTAGTGACTTAAGTGTGTGCTCCTTTGTGTCCTTTAATGTGATTCAAGAGAAAGTAGAATTGGTAAAAGTTTCGTATGCCCTTAACAACTTTTTTAAAACACTAAAACTTGCACTTTATTCAGGTGTAAAAAGCACTTAACCCAAATTAATTTATTTCAAACGAACAAAAGAATTTTATTTATTTCTATCTAAGTTAAGGCCTTCAACTAAAAATTTGGTACAAACCGCGGAACCTTGCCAAAATTTTCAGTTGCATCAATCAATATGTTTTCTTCTCTCTGCCAATTTAGGAGGCGCCGCAATAGCTGCCTGCCCGGCTGCACGGACGTCCTTCTCCTGGGCCGCGGTCACCATCCCACGGACGAGTGTCCTTGCCGGTGTGAGCAGTGCACAAGGCCCTCTGGCCTTCCAGAAGACGAACCCTGTTGCCAGCCGGAATGCTGTGCGGGACCGGAGCCGATCTACCACACCCAACCGCCCTGCGGCTGCGAGTGTGAGCAGCAGGTGCGGCGGGAGCTCACGAAGGTCATCAAGACGCAGGGTCGCAGGATTTACGAGCTGGAGGAGATGCTCTGCCGGCAGAATAATCTGCGCAACTGTCTGCAGAGGAAGCTGGATGAGTTGTACTGTGAATTTGGTCGCCTGGATGAGGACGAGGCCAGTCGATCGCGACTTACCTGTCGGGGAAGCGAACGTGGCGGTCCCGATTGTGTGGCTGTTTTGAATCCAGCTAAACCGCCACCACCATCACCACCGGAACCAAGAAGCGATCCTCCCTCTAAACGATCGCTAATCAGCCGTCGATTGGCCGTCATGAAGGCCAATCAAGTGGAGGAGGAGCATGCAACGGAGGAGCAGAGACCTTCGTTGCCAATGGCAGGTGAACGGGTGCACTGTTTTGCGGAGAAAAGGGCCCATTCCGAGCAGGTCACCCATCGACCTCGCTGGGTCCAAGTGGCGGATAAAGGCGAAACAGAATCGGATAGCAAGATTGCTATTCGATTCGGAAACAACAGCACCTACCTAGTCCCCAGTGAGAACGAATCCTTCTACACTTTGGGTCCCAGGTCCCAAAACTCCCATTCCAACTCCACCTATTCCGTGTCCAACAGATCCCGTACTTGATGAGCCCGTCTGCCACCCACAAACCCCCCTTTGCATCTCCCTGTCCTGTGCAATCATGCAAATAAAAAAATATATTCTTTTTTCGGGCTCTGTGCAAATGTTTTTAACCCAAATATTTTGTAGACATGCAACATTTATGTAGACAGGCTGCAAACAATTTGCAGATGAGTGAACGACATAGCACTGAAAAAAACCCTCTTGCCTTTTTTTTTATTCCATGCCACAATACTTTTTAAATAGTTACTTTTCACAGTCCATTTGGTTGGAGAAAAAAATGTGGGGAATTTTTCTTTGGCTTCAGTTGGGAAAATATATATATATAAGTAAAAACTATTCTTATTTTTATTGGCAAAATAACTATTTTATTAATATTTACGCTTAAATTCAATACAATGATTATTCTGCTTAAGATGTAGGTCAAAGGCTTGGAATATTTAATTAAAAGCGTAAATAACTTGCAGCTTATATATTTTCTTCAGTTAATCAAGTCATAACACAGTCAATAGTTGTGATAAGTAATACTTATTATATTTTTTTGATATTTATGAAGGTAGAATGTAATAATTTCAGTGGCTCGAGAGAAGGAAGAATGAAACTCGATTGGAGAGCTGAGACCCACTCCCGGGCTCAATGCGAACCACTCGAACACCCCTCGAAAGCGACAGCTGCGTGCAAATTGTTGCCATTTTATGGCATTTCAGTGCAAGCGAATGCAGCTGTCCACCAACTCGCAACCCACCCCCAACTCGCAAATGCACCCCCCTGCAATTTAGGGAGCAATTTTCGCTTACTATTCCAAATGTTCATAAACACATTAAAATGATAATTAAAAGAAAATTTCGCTCTCTTTTCATTTTTCGCACATCAGCAGCAAAGTTAATGCCGCAATGTTGCATCTGCATTATTTATTTATTATGTATGCAAATGCATTTAATTGCATGGTCGAAAGAGGAAGCGAGAGAGAGAAGGCGAGAGAGAGAGAGGGGGAAAGAGACAGGACAGAGGAGCTGCAGGCGAGGCAACGTCAAACAATTTGCATATTTTAGCATGTAATGAAATTTGTAATAATTCTGCAATTAATTGCGTACGTGTCCTTGTTTATAGTCCACGTAGCAGTTGGACGGGAGGAGTCCAGTTTCATTTTCAGTTTGTGTGGGTTTTTACCCTCTCGCCCCAAGGGCCATGAAAACACACACCGCCAAGTAGTGTGCCGGGCATTAATGTTCACGTTTTGCGTGCATAAATACAATGAAATATATATAAATGGCCAGATAAGGCCATATATGTAAGTTTTCTTTATTTAAAGCATAGACAGCATAGACAGGCTTTCGTGAATCGTAGTAGACTTTAATACTTTACTTTAAAATTGCAAAATATGAGTACGAAATAAAAGAGAATAGTTTTAATAATAACTGAGTTAAAAAAAAAATAAAATCACATATCCATATTCATAGATAAATACATTTTTTTAACGTAAAATGTATAACATAAATCCCAAAAATAAAATATTGATTCTTGTCTTTATTGATTAAACCCTGAGTGAGTAAATCAATTAATAAGGTATAAACAAAAGTTTAAAAAATACTTAAAAATACTTATCGACTTAAACATTTCTGAGCTCTGTAACAGGTTTGTATAAGCCATTCAGTATTTTAATTATAAATAGCTTACAACAATTTGAGCTCCTTAACAGCTCAATATTACCTACTTATGTTTTTGAAACTGTTTCATTAAACAAACGCAGTTCAATTGAACTTTGCTTGGCTTCACTTTACAAATTCTCTCGGAATCGCCACATTTTAGGACCCCGACTTTGACCTGCACTTGAAACTGCCAAAACAAAGCAATCGACTGCGGACCCTTCCACCCTGCTCTGCCCAAAGTCCTTCATTGGTGGCGGCTGCTTTACAATTTGCATGTTTACAAGTAAATTTCCAACATGAATATTTATTTATTTTACCATTGCAACGCAGCAAATGGAGTTGTTGTGTGCTGTGTTGTGGCAGGGCATTGTTGCTGCTGGCGGTGGCTGTTGATGTTGATGGGTTGTATATACCTTCGGCTAGGTGTTCGACATGGTCTTGTTGTTTTAATCCCTGCCACCGCCCACGCCCCTTAAATTCCGCCCACCAACCCCTTCGGTGGATTTTCAATAACAAGCTGCCTGGGCCATTGTTGTTGTTGGTCATTTTGTTGTTTGTTTTTAATTGTTTTGCATGTTTTCATTTCATTTGCAGTCGCACTGCAGAAAGGGAATAAAGATCGGGTTGCGGGGCAATCGACACCGTCATTATGGCGAGAACAACAACAACAAATATTTATGCTGATTTTTATGCTACTTGGGCGCATAAAAGTGTATTTAAATGCGAAGATGTCAGGAGCAGACAATCGTGTTGCATTTGCCTATCGCATGGCAGATACATTCTTTGATTTTCATTTCGATTTGATGTTTTTCAATTACATTAAGGGTCCTGCCACTTCTGGATTTTCCAACCTCCTCCACCCCCCAGATCAGGCATCATTTGTTGCCCCGATTTTGTTTTTACTTTTAGCTGTTTTTTCGGCAGTTTTCTTGTTTGTTTATTCTGCAATTGTCTGGACTGGCAGACAGACAATAGATTTCAAGGATGGTTTCATTTCAGCTGCGTCCATTTGTGTTTCATTTTCATTCTCCTTTTACGGCTTGCAATAATCATTTGGCGAGGAACGGAAGCGGAAGTACAAAAGCGATGAGCGAGGGGAAAAGGAAACGGGCCAAAAGGAAAAGTACCAAAAGGAAAGTCTCATAAAATTAGTAGGAATGACTTTAAAATGCCATGTTTTGTAGACCCCAACCCTTTCATTCATTGTATCCATTCTTGCCTTTTTTTATTCTGTTCTTTGATGATGATTTTTCATTAGTTTCGCGCCGTTTGAGGCCGCCAATTAAAATTGAAAGAGATGGAGGCCAATATTGGAAAAATATCTCCACATTTCTATGCACATTTATATCAAAATGTATATGTACTTGTGCACAGAAAATATATATTTTTTGTAAATAAACGTTTGGCTTTGTTTTTGCTTCTGTTTTAAAAAAAGTTAAAGTTCAAAAGTTCTTTGAAATTTATATATAATTAGAGTAACAGAAAACTATTTAAATAAACAACTATCAAAAAGCATGCATACTAAATTCCGATGTTATATAAACATTTTTGTATTTTTTCTGTGTACAGATAGACATGCCGTCATGATGATAAATGAGCTCTGCCTTAGCTTAACTGAAATGCGTGCTAAATGTTATAATTGCCGCCATTCATTGAGGCTTTCGGATCGAGGGATAGAGAAAGGAACGAGGCATGTGCAAAACATTTGAAACGCTTTGAATTAGTGGCAATTTCGTTAATTTAAAAGGTTAAATATAGTGCTTGAATTCAGCAATATATACAAGCAGCATGACAATCATTAAATTGACAGCCCTCGACAACTTTAACACAAAATAATGCCTTTGCAAATAATTTAAATTTAGCCATCAATTTCCCCATAATTTGGCAATTTCCAACACCCTTCCTATTGAATTTGCTGCTCTGTTCGCACAAGCAAACTCATCTTGAAGAATATAAATGCCATTTTGAGTTTTTCCTCTGCTTTCTTCATATTCAACTGGCAGTGCGAAATTGCGCAACGAAAATATGTGTATCAAGAAAAACGTATCCAAAATAAACCCTTGAGAGGAAAATAGACGGTCCTGAGTCCTGAAGGACTCCCATACAAAACAATAAGGACAAGGAAGGCCGGCCAAACGAACGAACGAACGGAACTGAAGAGCAGCCAGAATAATAGTCAATAAAATATTTGCACGAACCAAAAATCATTCAAGCGCATCTCGGGACTTTTATTTCAATACAATCCACAGATAGAAATCGAGGGGGCTTAGGGAAAAAGTGGCCCAGGCATTGAAATAACATTTGGCGAACACAAAAAGTTTCTAAAGTGCAGCAGCAGCATTCAAAGAAAAGATGACAGGCAGGGAAAATTGAACAAAAACAAGAGCAAATACAGACTGCCACAGGTCCTGTGCGTCGAGAGAAAAGTGGCAAAATAAACAAAAAAGGGAAAACAATTTGCAATGTTTTTGCTTCTAGTTGAAGACGCTTATTTCAATGCCAGTGGTGGGTGGCAAAAAAGGAAAACCTTCTTTCGGCCAACTTACTTGAGACTTTCAGTCACAAAAATTTTTACCCATGACTGGACAACAGTGGCGGCAAAAAGTGTTCGACCTTTCCAGCAAAACAAAGCAGGAAATGGCTGCCAGGATATTGACAATGGCGAAGGCGGGGAAGAGGGGCGTGGCCATGGCCGCTGTGCATTGAGCGTGAAATGCGACAACCCTGGGCGGCGAACAAAGCGAGATAAAAAGAGTTCCCAGCCATTTAAAGCGCATCTAAAGCCATGGAAAAGTTTCAAATTTACTTCGCCCCACTTGTGGATCCTCTACTTAGTGAACGCCATGCGCAGCGACCATTTTGTTGCCCCCTTTAAACACTTGAGCTACTTAAGGACATTTTAGTTAAATTTTATGTCGATTTCCGCTGGTCTCAGATTTCAGTTTGCCAATCTATTGAAATTGCGGTCGAGCATCGAGGGAAAAAAGGTCAAACCCATTAAATTTATAATGCGATTGAGGGCGAAAAACCAAGTAAGGACGAAATGGGCGTGGCAGTGTGTGTGTGTGTGTGCGTAGGAGAGAGCCTTAAGTAGGTCAGTTTTGTCTGTCATAAAATGCAATTGGAGCGCATTAAAGGGCCCCGCGACTCGCAAGTGAAATGTCAAGTTGTAAATAAGCAGGACAGCAGAAGAGGGCGGAAGAAGAAGGGGCGTGGCAGGCCAAGGGATCCACAGTCCTGCGATGGGCGTTGTCGTCAAGTTTCGAAAGGACCCAAAAGGTTTGATATCTGCAATGATGTCACTTCAGATGCTCAAGAAAAAGGTCAAAAGGTTAAACACATTTAAATTTTAAGGTTGGCAAAATATTTATTAATGATGATTCTATTTTATTTTAAAAGCGTAAAATGTGGATATATATATAGATCCTAGTTTCTGTTTTAAAAATGATTGTTCGCTATGATTTAAATAAATTAAACCAAATGTTTTTTATTAAGGGAAATAAATTATTAAATAATAAATAAATATTAAATAAGTTAAATAAAGTTTATTCAAAGAAAAGAAATTTATATAGTATCTAGATATCATCAAATATCATTTATTTTTTCCTTTATTCGCTTTTATTCCTAATCAACATCCTTCAAAAAATGCAAAATTTGCTATCTAAATTTTTAAAATCTGTTGAGCACTGAAAATCCCAAACTGGTCCCCAGATATTTGCTTTAAAATCATTTGAAACAGTTATCTGCTCGCTGTCCGCACTATCTGCCCTTACATTTTCCGACACTTTCGGGCCTTTGTTACTATGCAAATGGCTGAACATTCTGGCTTAAAAGCTTTGTTACGACCACCGCCGAAAAGCATCGCGTCTCGGGTCTAGACGTCTGTTCAGCCACTTCAATTTGGCCCAAACGAAAGGCGCTGGAGCGTAACGAGGGGGCGTGGCTGCCCCTCTGAGTTGCGATTACGGCCATGATCCGCATGGCCTGTAGTCCTCCACATAATTGATATTCATATGCAGCTCGGATGCCGTTTGCTTGCATCTCATTAGTGGCAGCAGTCGCTGAATCCCGCATTTATCCTTATATGTACCTGGCCATGGCTCTTATAAATAAGCACATAATCAGGCGACAAACGCGACTGGGGCTGCCTGCCACGTGCATAAATAAATAAATAATTTGCAACAATTACCATAACTCGGTCTGACATCTCCACTAGACCTTCGGCCACATTGTGCCAAAGTGTTATGACTAACTTGGCTCTTTCTTTTTCTCTTTATCTTTCTCCTACAAGCTGAAACTCTGAAACGGAGAGGTTGTGGCTGATGCTGATGCTGCTGCTGCTGCTGATGATGATGATGTCAGTCGCCAGCAGCAGCAGTCAATAAACATAAATATCGGGCTGAAGATGCTCGTGGAGCATCGTTAAGTGTTTGGCTTTATGGCCGATTCGGAATCGGGCGAGAGACTTCGCGGCCTGGCTTGGACTTTAATTAGCGCCTGGCCTGACAATTAAATAATATTTTCGCCAACTCACAGTTCGCCGCTTACGGCTCATCCGCACTCTCTCCTCGTCTGTGAAGCTGCCGACTTGTTAACTCGCTGCCTGACAGTCTGCCAACAAGTTTTAATTACAAGCCAAACGACAGAGCGAAAATAAAAATAAAAAAAACACTGGGAAAAGACGAGTAGGAAACGAGCAATTGATACGGCCTAGGCTGAGAAATACCCTGTTTTTAATTAACTTTTGTAATGACAAATTCTTGCACAAGAAAATATGATGCAATTATTTGATTTTAGATTTCATTTTAAGGCTTTAAAATTCTATTTTAGGAAGTATTTGTAAGAACACAATTAAAAAGTCTATTATGTTATATAAATTCTAAATCAATGAAAAAAGTTTAAAATAAAGTGTCATTGAATTTTTAGCATTAAATTGTCATGTTTTTACTATAGAACTTCAGGCCTCACTGAGTTTAATGGGATCGTTAATATTAATAGCAGAACGAGCAAATGATAATAAAAAATCGTTATTTATTTTACTTCATCCGGTAAATTGAGTTAAAATTCATTATAAATGTATGCAAAGAGTTAAAAATGAGTGCCGAATAAATCCGACTATGCAGAGCTTACAAACAATGTCTGATGGACCTATTACACCCCGGCTTACCCATTTTGATTATCGGGCTTGGAGAAAAAAGTGTCTCCCAGCCAGTTAGTTTTTGATAGTCGTTGGCTTGTTTTAATGACTCCTCCTGGACTGCAGCAGCATCACAAGTTTTTTTTTATGGCTGTATGCAAATATTTTTTCAACACAGTTTATGGTCTGTGATTGTTATCCGACTCTGGGTTGGTAGTCGGTTTTTGCAAATCTTTTGTTCAGCTTTTATGGGTCTCTGGCCCTATCTAAACTAAACACCCTCTTTTTTCGCCGAGTGTCCGTTTCTGGTCAGTTCATTTTCATTGCTGATGACATTTTTCTGATTTGTCGCTAATTTGAATTTGAGAATGGAAACGAATCGAACGACAAACGGCAGCCCTTTTATTTATTTATTTATTTATTAATGCCATCAAATGAATTTATGACAGTTCAGGCGTTGTAAAATTTTCTGGTTTCGCTTTGATTTTCATTCTCGTTTCGAGTGTTGATTGGTCGCCTGACATATTGACTTGCATTTTGTCAATAGCGTTTTGTCTCATTTGATTCGATTTGATGAAGGTCGTTTCTATTAGCGCCCATAAAACGACGAAAATTTATATCAAATTCGACCTTCCTTACTTTGATTTGGGCAGATATTCTATTACTGGGAAAATATTTGGTAGCATGTGGAAGGTTGGGCATTAAAAAGATTTTCAATAAATGGAAATTTTGAAAACATGTTGCAAAATATTATCAAAAATTCAGCAATTTGCTAACAATTTGTAGGGCTTAACAGTGCGAAATTCGAGTTCTAAAAATTGTGTTCACACCTGTTCATTTTATTGTTTCATTATTTTAGGGGTTCATTTTAATCCTGCCATTTGAAATCGGCCTCATTCGGTATTTTGTGTTCTTCCACCCTGGCCAATTATTACAACCACCTTTTGCTGGCCTCGCCAATTAGCTGACCAAACCTGAACCCAATTCGAAGTTTGTTTTATCGAGTATCTGGAGTGGAAAACACTCAAGCACTCGATGCAATTTAAACAAATATATGCAGACACTGCCTCAAAAAAGAGCGCACACGCCCATTTGGCATTCGGGGCGTGGCGGCAGGGAGGCGGCAAGCGATAGCCCAGACAGATACTTTATGCAGTACGTGCCAAACAAAACTCCGCAGCCACTGACCCATCCAGTTATTGAAATGCAAAAGCCAAAAAGGAAAATTGCAGTAGCGAAGACAATTTCCCTGGCACGCAAAGGGGGGAAGTGGGGAGGGGAGAAGGAAAATGCAGACAGGAACATGGATGGACCCATGTGTGTGCATGACTTGGGAGACCCGGGATCTCAGGAGTGGACTGGACTCCACTAGAGTGGACCCGAACCAGGACCAGGATTGGATTTCTAATGTGCATTCGTTGTCTGCCGTCAATCCATTAAAAATCGTACCGGCGACAACAACAAATGCGGCACGTACGGTTTTATTTCTCTGGCTGAAGCTGGACTTCTCGGCTCTCGGTTCTCGGTAGATAACATTTGTATTTAAAAGACACTTTACGGATTGCTTTTGAGCGCCGAGCGGCAAGCGTCGAACCGGTCTCTTTTTCTCTGTGCAACCATTTGTAGTTTATCGGAGGCGAATCTTGAAGTACCGCCCGGTACAAGCCGCATGTCAAAATGTCAATTTCTGTTTCTGTTTCGGTTTGGTTTCTTTTCGCCGGCACTGTGTGGCACGTCCTCTGTGGCCCCTTGTGGCATGCAAAATTGCCACATGTTGCGTAAACTAGTTTCGTGAGTCGTGAGATATATCACCTGAGTCGCAGCGCTCTAACTGCACTTGCAGAATTTGTATATGCACATGTGTGCAATTGTATGTATATATTTTGCAGCGATCTCAGGCATTCGGGCTGTCATGTCCCCACTTTTCCAAATGTGTTTGCTATGATCGGTGGCATGAATGGCCGACAACGGTGCAGACTACCAGGGAATATGTGGCTTATCCCCCCAGAAAACGTGTTCGACAACAGCCTTGGACGGCTGAGTTGCCATTAGATGGCTGGGAATTGGCTTGGAATTGAGTTTCTGTCTGAACTTACCCTTATTTATGCGGCAGGTTTTTCGGCTAATGTGGCGAGAATTTTTCGTTACCTGTAAAAGTGAGGAAATAGAATGAGAATGCGATTTAGAAATATTAACAACAGGTTTGGTTAGTTACAACATTTATTTTAGTTATATTAGTTCTAAGACTTTTTAGTAGGTTTATACCGTGTCAATGGTTATATATTGATAGCCTTTAAATATTTAGCTGTCGTCTATTAAATTAAATTTAATTATTCGTTCATAAGAATAAGAACCTACTTCAGAATAAGCTAGGACCATCTCAGCCCATTCAAATTGGCTTAAATGCTTGCTTATGGTCACAATCACTTTCTGGGAATCCCACCCAACTCGAATACTTTTCTATTCGCAAAAGACTTTGTTGATTACCCCAGAAGCAAAGGGAAATAAACTTTATTACCCAATGGCCGTGTGCCGTTTGAGAATTTCTGCCAGTTTTTTGGCATTAATGCGAAGTTTATTTCTTCTTCGTTTTTGCGGGCATAATTAAGCGCACTTTTAAATATTTCAACCTATGTTGTGTGTGTGTGTTTTGTTGAATCGTAAAAAGAACTGGAGTACCGCCAGGGTCATAAAAGCGACGACTTTGGACCACCCAAGATGGGCGGCTGGGAAACTTTGGCATGGATTACTCGACGCGTGTGCCAAAAAAGAAAAGTATGAAGAGCATGAAGAGAAAAAAGGTCAACAATTTTATAGCCATTTCCCGCTTAGGTTTCTAGGTGTTAAATAATAAATACGCCCAGAAATCGCTCTCTCCCAGTCGATAAAAACGGGCGCTTTGGAGGCCCAGGAATTGCGTGCTCCGACTTATCGTGCTTACAGTTCAGTTCACTTGGCCCATACGACTCCCACTTTTGCAAGCAGCCCGCTGCATGATGACATTTTAATAGCTAGCCCAATCCTCAAGGAAGCCAAAAAAAAATGAGGAGCAAACCCCGAAAGCAATAAGAGTATTTTCCGTCCTTTTACGAGCACTCATAAAAAGTTGAAACAATGACGAAAGCCCAACACTTTTCCTGTTGGTTTTTTCCTCCTGGCCACCTTATGCATGTATGTTCTCCATGGAACCATAAACAAATTTCGCATTAATTGCTTAATTTTGCTAGCCCCCTTATCGAGCGACCACACAGTTCACCTTTAAAGATTCAACACAAAAGCAATTAAAGGCCAACCAACAACTGCCGCCACGAGAAAACGAGAAAACCTTTTTCTGCAGACTAAACTAATTTAATTAGTTCAGGCTGGGGAGGCAGTAAACTATTTAGTCCCCGACTGGGTTCCTTTGGTTAGTTAGACGCGCCAAATGAAATCAGACTTCAAGCGATACAATGTTTAATATTGCCCTGAACAAACAGAGCACGCACAACCCACACAAAAGGTGTGCGAAATATATTTAGATATATACATATAAATATATACACAACATAATTAAGTTTTTGGGAGATGTTCAAATTTGTACAGCTTATCTAAAAGTTTTGATATCTAATAACTTGCCATTTTTAATACAATATTTGGTGATTGGATTAAAATATAAAGGTGCCTCGAAGTTGAAAAAGGCTTTCAGTGTTCAGTGTTCATTGCCATAGCTAAATTACAGTCGATTTCTTATATATCTTACTAGTTTTAATACAATATTGGTTAATCGGACTCAAACTTATAGGTTGCTCGAAGTTGGAAAACCTTTCGGAACACTATTTATTGTCATCCAGGCAAGAAAATTAATGTCTTCTAAATGATAACCTATACATAAACCCTAAAAAATCAGATAATAAATACACTTCCGCTTTCTTTGAATACTCATTTACTAAATATAAACAGCAGCTAATGGGCACTGACTGGCTTTTGTTTATGTCGCACACCTTCACCCCGAAGACTCCATGAGGAAGTTAGTTTTTTTTTTTCGTACATGTCATTGACTCACACCCGTGGAAAGAGACAGCAGCTAGTCAGGAGTGAGACAGAAACAGAAACATAAAATTTGCGGCAATTTCTAGGGCGTCGTCGTCGTCATCGCAGTTGTCGTCTCGTTTTGTAGGTGACTTTGGCTGTGCGGCATATAAATAAATATTATATTACCCTCGGCGAGGAGGAAACCTTAGACCCGCGACGCAAATGTGAGACAAACTCCCCCTCGTCGTGTGTCGCCCTTTTGTTTGCCTGCTGAGTTGTTAATTAAATATTTACTCTGCTTATTTGCAAAATGAATAATTTTAGCATTTTATTTCACATGGCACAATGTGTGTATCCCGCTCCTTCTAGCTTCTAGGGATTTCTGACCCACACTCTAACCTTTTAGCACATTTATGCTTGACTTCGGAGACACTTCAAGCTCGCCTTTGGCTTTGGCTTTAATTGCCTTTATTGCCGCCTTTAAGTACACGTAGAGATGTGTTTACAAGTTCTAGCAAATACAATTGTATGGTTTTTAAAGAAAACCACTATTTATTTATAGCTTGTTTTGGGATTAATGTGGTAATATTATAAAATGTAATACTAGTTTATGTTTATTAGTTTTTTTGAATCAGCTGTCACAGCTTAGAAATATATTTCCAAGTAAAGTCACAATTTACCGGCTGGGAAATCCAGTATAACTGACTTAAGTTAGTCATTTTGCAAGTTGAGCTCGCCCATCCACGAATTACATCATACAGATTTTCTCACAACCTTCTAGCGAAAAAACTTACAGTCGCATTTGCATTAAACTTTTCGCTTCAACTTCTCACATATTTATTTATTTATTTACTTTTTAAGCATTTTGTTACGCTTCACATTTACGTGTTGATTGCTCGTTCCAGCACACAAAGCAAAACTTGTTTTGCAAAATGCCATTCAAATAGCCGTAGTCTGAATCTTGGCCCAACTAATGACTTCATTCTGTTGTTGTTTCTCCGCTGCCGTCAGTCAAGGTGATTCGGACGAATTTCAAATATTTCAACATTCGGAGTTTACCCCAGAGAACTTTGCATAATTGATTAATAATTTTGCGGGACAGGTGGCGCCCCCCAAGCGACCACGCCCCCTTGGAGACCCCTTGGCCGACAATCGTTAAATATTTAAATGAACTATCCAGACCGCCTTAACCCATTAATTAGCCCGACTTGAGCACACGTTAGATAAATGTTGTGAAACTTGATTAAAAGCAAACAGTTCGAGCTTCGGCTTGGAAAAATTTCACTCTCTTCCAAAAATTTCACTTAAAGGGTTCCAATTCAATCGAGAAATCCCAAATAGATAACGATAATCAATAACAGGAGGGGAAAAATAGAAAAGGGGTGGACAGTTCAGAGGCGTCACCCTTCTCTCATAGGAACTTATTATTGATTTTACTTACATTCGAGTTTTTGCTGATTTGTTGTTCATTTTGTTTGTTTGCGCTGGGTTTGTTTGTTTGTTTGTTTGTTTGTTGATTTTCTGTTTGCTTGACTCGAAAATTATTTGGGTTAAACCAACAGCAACAGCAACAAGCAATCACTGCAATAGTCGAAGCTCATAGACAAGACTTCAAATATTGTCAGAAGTTGCTTCCTGGTATAAAATTTTCTTTCATAAAATTATGAAATTCAAAGTTTTATTGAGGAAGTGCATAGTTGAAAACTTGGTTCAGTGACTGTATGCAAATTATGTACAAATGGGGTGCTTAATATCAATTGACTTGAGTTTTATTTTTTGCTATTCTGTAATTGTCGTGCATGAATATAATGAATGATTTCTTAAAAATATTTACAATGTATTTCCCATAAGCTTAAGTTTTCCTATTCTCAACTTGTAGAGTTCCTGGTAATCTCATTAGTTCGCCTTCAAACACCTGACTAATCCAATAAGTTGTTCAACTTTTCATACCAAACTTTAGCCGCAGAAACTTTAACACGAGACAAGTTAATTTGTCGCAGCTAGGAAACTAGCTTATGGGTAAACAACGAACATGTCAACAAAACTTAACAGAAATTAACTGGGTAAACACGAAAAGAACCGAAAAATACTTGCTTAATTAACTGGCAAAAACTTTGGGGACAAAGGACAAGTAGGCGTAGACGGGCGTGGGGGAAAATGTAGGCGTGGGAACCCTTTATTGAAAGGATAAATTGCCGCAACGTGGCGTATGCGCAATTAACATTTATGGCAATTAATTATACGATTATGCATACGCCGTGTGGCACACCGCCTGGCATCAACATAAGCAGCCGATGTTCTCTGTCTATTCTGCTGTCTCCTAATGAAGGCATCAAATCCGAAGGCGACAAAGTGTTTACCACCGTTTTCATTTTTTTGTTGTGCCCCCACTTTCGGTAAGCTATAATTATGGGTAATCAAACAGTTTTATTTGATGCTCTAACTAATGATCTTTTTGTCTAGGCTTCAGCAAGGTCGAAACCCTAAACGAGCCATTCAGAGACTTGAGACTTTAATTAATCGTTGTATCGCCATCAACTCTGATTAACCGAACCGACCAAAAATACTGCCCCCAGGCAACTCAATCTCGTTAATTGATATGCAAAATCAAATGGCCACTAAATGGTGCGAACCGAGGAATTGCGCCAAAGTGCTTGACCAGGTGAAGGCTCTAACGATTTTCCGAGGAACCAGGCCACAGTTCGTTGAACTTAAAGTTGGACGTGTCGAAATAGAGACAGTAGGATAGAATTTATCGAACGGAAAAAAGAGATTTTTAATTGAAAATCCAGAACAAATTGCAGCCTGCAGCTTAGCAAATATAAAATTAAATAAGATTTCATTGGCACTCATATTCTTATGTAACGTTTTCAAAGAAATATCTATAGCATTGTTTTCTGTAAGCCAGTTTAAGCCTTTTCTTTCACATTTTGCTGTGCATTTTGCCATCATTTTAATACCCGCATAATTCTGCATTCGCAATTTATAGAAAAAGAAAAAGATTTTCATTATCACATATATTTTTGAATGTCTGGTCTGCCCCTTCCACACCTTGATGCTCCATTTCAACCAATTTGTTTTGACATATTTTTGCTCGACTAGGCAGAATTGTTCAAAACACCAAACAGAAACACAAT